GGTCCCCCCTAGTGAGTTTATAGACGGTCACCAGGTCCCCCTCAGCTTTCTCTTGTGAAGGCTGAACAGGTTCAGGTCCCGCAGTCTCTCATTGTAGGGTCTGCCTTGTTGTCCCTGGATCATGCGGGTGGTCCTCCTCCGGACTCTCTCAACATTGTCCACATCCCCCCTGAAGTGGGGCGCACAGAACTGGACACAGTACTCCAGCCGTGGCCTGACCAGTGTCATGTACAGGGGGAGGATCACCTCCTTGGCCCTACTTGAGATGCACCTGTGGATGCACAAGAAGGTCCAGTTAGCCCTGCCAACCGTGACCTCGCATTGTCGGCCCATGTTCATCTTGGAGTCAATAATGACTCCAAGATCCCTTTCTGCCTACGTGTTCTCAAGAAGGGAGTTTCCCATCTTACAAGTGTGCTGCTGGTTACTACTGCCCAAGTGCAGCACCCTGCACTTGTCAGTATTGAAACGCATCCTGTTTTTGTTAGCCCACCCCTATAACCTATAACATGAGTTATATAGGTTATATAGACTCCTACTGCCAGGCCCTTCTTCCCTGGGAGACGGAGGGTAGACCATGGTCTCCCTCCAGGACAAGTGAGGACCCAGGGACCTTCCATACTGTCCAGCCACAGGGTTGGACCAAGGTGGTCAAGGACTCCAAGGCCCGCTGCACCAAGGCCCCTGTCCCGCTGGAGCTTTGCAACAGGTACGAGCCTCTTGCAGCCCCAGCAGAGCCTGCTGAGTTGCCAGCTCCTGCAGGCAACAGACTCAGTTGTAGCTACCGCCCCCAATCTTCCTAAGACGAAAAACAAAGTGTTTGTCATGGGAGACTCCATCCTGAGGGGGATGGAGGGGGCAATCTGCCGCTCCAACCCCTCAGCCCGGGAAGTGTGCTGCTTCCTGGGAGCTCATATGTGAGATATTGCAGAGAAGATCCCTAAACTCCTCCAGCCCACTGACCACCACCCTATGCTCCTCATACATGTGGGCACCAATGACATGGCTCAGAACCCTCCCAGCCAGGTCATTAGGTGCTACAGTGACTTGGGAGTGGGGCTTAAGGGGTTGGGGGCTCAGGTGGTTTTTTCCTTGATCCTTCTGGTTTTGGGCTACGGGCTGAGGAGGGAGAGGAGGATACAGGTAGTGAATCAAAGGCTGCGGTGCTGGTGTCATCGGGAAGACTTTGGCTTCCATGACCACAGTCCTCTCTTTGGTGAGAGAGGCAGTGAGCTGCTGGGAAGGGACGGCCTCCACCTCTCTCCACTGGGGAGGAGACTCTTCTCAGCCAGACTGGCTGACCTGCGCCACCAGGATTTAAACTAAGCCCACCGGGGAACAGGGGGACTACCGCCACTGGTGGCCTGCTGTGCAACCCTTGCAAAGCCAGCAGGCCAAGGCACTTAAGGAAGCCTATCCCTGCCCCAACCCAAGAGCAAGCTGCGGGCAAGGGCCCCCAAGAGGACACTTGCATGCTTGTACACCAGTGCCAGGAGCTTGGGAAATAAATGGGAGGAACTTGTCCTCCTGCTCAACACAAATAATTACTGTGTCATAGGGATAACGGAGACCTGGTGGGACTCCACCCATGACTGGACCATGGGTACAGACAGCTATACCCTGTACAGGAGGGATCAAGTGGACAAAAGGGGCAGAGGTGTAGCTCTCTATGTCAAGGAGAACTATGCATCCCTACAAGCTGAAATTGAAACCCAGGGTGGACAACTAGAGACCCTCTGGGTTAAAATCCATGGGGAACACGGCACAGGAAATACAATGGTGGGAGTCTACTACAGACCTCTCTCCCAGAGTCAAGAGATTGACCACGAGTTTGCCAGGGAATTGGCTGAGGCTACACGCTCCCAGTCCATGGTTGTCATGGAGGACTTCAACTACCTGGACATCTCGTGGGAAGATTGCTCAGCCAAATCTGAATGGTTGCAAAGCTTCCTCACATGCATGGACGAGCTCTATCTGACTCAAGAAGTCTATGGGCCAACAAGAGGCAAAGCACTGCTTGACCTGGTACTGGCAACCAGGGACGACCTAATCAGTGACCTAACGATCGAAGAGAAGCTAGGTGACAGCGACCACGAGCTGATCACCTTCGCCATCCGCCAAAAAGCTGTCAAGTCAGTCAGTGATGCAGAGGTTCTCAACTTCAGGAGGGCTGACTTTGACAAGCTCAGGAGACTTGTTGGTGAGACCCTAAGGGACCACGACCCTAAAGGGAAGGGAGTCCAGGAAGAGTGGTCGCTCCTCAAGGGAGTGATCCTAGATGCACAAGCGAAGGCTATTCCTTCTTGGAGGAAAGGCAGCAAGAAGGTACAGTAGCCCCCTTGGCTCTCCAGGGAACTGGCGGTCCTCCTGCATCTAAAAAGACAGACCTACAAAGGATGGAGGACGGGATCCACCTCCAAGGAGGAATACACTGCACTGGTCCGGGCCTGCAGGGAGCGAACCAGGAAAGTCAAGGCTGCCATGGAACTCCAACTGGCCAACAGTATTAAGGACAATAAAAAGTCCTTTTTTAGATATATGGGGAGCTGGAGGAAAAGCAAGGGCAACATTGGACCTCTGATAAACCACAAGGGGGAACTGACAACTGACGCCCAGGAAAAGCCAACTTGCTAAATGGGTACTTTGTGTCAGTCTTTCACAAGTCCCATGGAATGCCCCTGCCCATTACAAGGCATCTCACTAAGTGAGGGTGGTTCCTGCTCTCCATCAATGCCGATTTTGTGAAGGAACAGCTTGAGAGGCTGGACACCTTCAAGTCAGCCGGCCCTAACAATTTACACTCCAGAGTACTCAAGGAGCTGACTAGCATGATAGCTCAGTCCCTGGCATGGATCTTTGAGAGCTCCTGGCTCTCTGGTGAAATGCCCGATGACTGGAAGAAGGCCAATGTGGTGCCTA